TTTGAAAAAAAGCTGTCTCTCAAAACTGTATGCTACCGAACTACAGTTTATCAGTGGACGAAGCTAAAATCGTATTCTGGTGGTGCACAATTCAGGAAGTTAAGTTTCCTAACTAATTTCACATAATGGAAAATACCACATTGAATCTTCCAGCAAAGATACCCCGTATGTAAAATTTTAATATATCATTGGTGACGCGCACTGGGTGGGCGCTTGCGATCATGCGTGTTTGCAGTATCTCATACTATAGTAAAGTCGCTTGGAATCCCAGTAGCTAGAATTTGTGACTTACTGGTCCTCGAAGTTCAGGAAGTTAGTTGTGCAATTACGTGGCACTGTTAAGATTCCCTCAGAATTCTAGCTTTTCTGGTTCCTGAGTTAGCTATTTTGCCAATAAAAACTTTCGCATTGCCGCAAGTGAGAACCGTGCACACCTGGAGCCTGAATTTGAAATCTTTGAATTCTGTGTGGACGAAGAAAATCCCCTCGACATTTAAGCTTTCTGTCTTTCCTGCTTCCTGAGTCAGCGATTTTCCTGCCGAAACCTTTGCGCACTCGAAAGCGGAATCCAGACGTGAGTGATGTTTTTGATGAATGTTTGCGATATCGCAACCTTAAAATTTGATAAAACTAGAGTAGTGGCGTTCCCTACGTGTGAAAATATCTAGTTAAATATTTAAATATATATACATTTATATGTACTTATGACTGCATGCATTAGCTAAAGTAATACAAAGTAAAATAAGAAAAGACGTGGTGAGATCCTGGGATTCTGGGTGGTGAGATATTGGGAAGCCGAAGCTCCCTAGAACAGGGATAAGTTGAAAGCAATAGCTTTCTCGAGTAGCTGCAAACAGCTCTGGAATTGTTCTGGAATCCTGGTGATGGGGAGGAATGTTTTTTTACCTCAGGGGTCAGAGATTGGTAAAATTGCAAAACTTTAACGGGGGTAGGACGTCCACGGGTTGAACTAGGGTATTGCATCATAGTGACGCAATTGTTCCTTATGCCATTTCTAACAAAAAACCATAAATCATTATTTGATACATTATTTGATAGCGACGAATAACGGTGTCATTATGACTAGGCATGAACGGGAAGCGTGGTTTTTGTTATACAAAGTTTAGCTAATTCAGGCAAAAAGAAACTTCAATGTCTATACAAAAGGGAGCAAAGCAGTAATTAAGACGCCCGGTCGAAGACCAAAGGAGTTGACTTGGCGCTTTGTTGATTCGAAGACAATACATATGTAGAAACGAAGATTGATTTGCGTGTGACTGGGTGCCGGGAAGTCAAAAAAATACTGGTATGGAGGAGCCGGTCGACCGAAATAAGATTTTGAGAACATTAGAATGGAGAAAAAAAGGGTTTATACGAAGAGAGGAGAATCTTCTCTTAAGAGGACGCGCCCCATCTTATTCACCCCATTGTATCCAGCTGTTAATTATGCATACAAGAAATACACGCATTAGCTTTTGTTATGTAAAGTTGAAGACGAAATAAGTGGGCGTGTAGAGATGGGTTGCGGTAAGGATGGGCGATCATTGACGACGCGCACGGGGCAGGCCCGTGTGATCATGCATTTTTGCAGTATCTTGTGCTGTTGTAAGATCGCCTGGAATCACACAGTTAGATCTTATGACGTACTGGTCCTTGATCTTTAGAAAGTTAATCGTACATTGCCATGTGTACTTGGAAAGCGGACATTTTGTTGAGCTTTCCAGCTTTTCTGGCTCTCGAATTGGCAATGTTTCCGCCAAAAGATCTCGCGGGGTCACACGCCAGAACCACGCATGCCGGAGAGGGTCCCCGAGTTATCCAACTTTCCTGCCACATACTTTCACGAGCCGCACGTGAGAACCAGGCACAATTGGGGGACTAAATCTGAGCACTTTAATTTGTGGATGGGCTGGGGATCCCCCTCAAAATTTCAGGCTCCCAGCTCTCCAGGCTCCCGAGCTAGCCATTTTTTCGTCAAGACTTTCGCGTGGCCGTACGCGAAGCCCAAATTTTGTGAGGATTGGTACCGCGGTCCTGGGGTGTCACTTGGACAAGCAACCCGCTGGCAAGACCTCAGCGCCGAAGCTTGCTCGGTTGTCGAGTTGAAATATTCGGACAGACACACACACATACACACGGGGATCGTCACAATATGCGTTTTTGCATTTGCATATATGCAAAAACGCACAATAACAATGATAATAATAGTCACTGCCGACGCGCACCAGACGAGCCCATGCGTTTTTACAGTATTTGGTGCTGTAGTAAAGTTGCTTGGTGTCACAGTAGATAGAATTTGTGACGCGCTAGTCCTCAAGTTTCAGAAAGTTAAATGAATAATTATCATGTTGCACTTGAAAAGGGAATATTCTGTTAAAGTCCCAGATCTGTAGCTTTTCTAGTTCCCTAGTTAGCGATTTTCGCGCCAACAATTTTCAAGGGCCGTACGTGAGAACCACTCACGCCAGGGGCTGAATTTGAAGTCTTTCGACGGCAGGGAACCTTGTCTCAAAATTTCGGCCTAACGGCTTTTCTGGTTCTCGAGCTAATTAATCCCCCCCGCCTCCCCGTCCCAAAAAAAATTTCACGGGATAGTACTACTTGAATATCGCGCGTAACTGAGGGCTCAGTTTGAAACCTTTAAGTTGTATGTGGATTGCAAACATTACCAATAAATTTCTGTCCCCCAGCTTTTCTGGCTCCCGCGTTAGCGACTTTTCCGCCAAAACTTTCACGTGGTCGAGATTTGCCTGAAGGTTGCCTGAAGGTTTTTGGCGCCGGAGTTTG